CCATTGTGGGACTATTAAAGGAATATCTTATCGTATCTTATCTAAGAGAGGATTAATCATACATTTGTTGTTATATGTGAAGGAGGATCTAGTCTGAAAAGATCCATTATTTTTCAGACAGAAGTTATGGCAGTAAGAACAAACTTGGACCAAATCCTTGGACTGTAACCAAGACAAAAAATAGGCTGCGGCTGTTGGGCAAATTCTGTTAATCTTGAAAATATGAAAACAGAGTGTTTAGATAAAATAGAAATAAAAGACAGTTTCAGACCAAACTGTTTTGCCAGCATAAAAACCAGGGACAGGCTAAATTCTGTTCACGGATGGGAAGTTACCACTGGTTGCCATTCAAGAGAGCCACTTAACAAATCCAGTGACATACAGTACCTACTAAAATACTTTAGACAGTGCTATGGAAAGAAAGTCTGAGGACATCAACAATAGCAAATTTGTAAAAACAAAACACAATCTAGCTCCCTGCTTATGGTTAAACAAAAGAAAATACAAGACATTGATACTGAAATAGAAATACCTTTTTCTTTTCCATGTTGCGAACCTTCTTGTCAATCACACCAAGAACTTGCTTCATGGCCTCACAATGATTTCCATTTCCCAGGTCTGGAGTGGCAGACTGGACAGCACTGTTGCCAACCATCGCTGAAGGCATCTGCGGAGAGAGCATTTATTATACGCAGTAAATAACATTTTAGAACTTTTGGGCCCAAATGGATGAACAAACACAGTAACTTCAGTCCTGAGCACAAGCAGACATGATAGCGATGTGGTGGTCCATCTTTTGTAAGAAGTCTAAACTGCATGGGCTACATTATTCTGCAACCGGTGACAAGTCCGACAAATTTGGATTGAGTACTGCAGTTTATTGACACCCACTACTTTTAAACATCTAGGGTGAAAACTGAGAAAATGATGGCTGTACATCTTCCTGCAAATAATTTAGTTGGTGTGGGAAGTGGAGAAATTAGGAATAGGTTTGCTAAACCAGGTCTCTCATTTCATTTGGATGTTTATTACTGGTACGTACACAGACATGTCCGAGTTATTTATATTAGAAAGTTAAAAGTATCCCTGCTTTATAAGCTGTTTGTAGCACCCATACAAGGTAACAATGAGATAATCTGATTTTCAGATGAACACATTTACATTGGAGGTAACTTATCGTTGGATATGTGTGTTTATATGTGCGTCGACGCTACGGAAACATTGATTAAAACAGATTTCTTTACATCGGAAACAGCTACTCACATTAACATTTAACCAGAAATTAACTATTTCCATTTTTGTACGTTACACACAAAATTATTTCCTCTATTAACTGGGTCGGACTGCCACCTGAGGATAAGCTGAGGATTCATATTAGCATTAGTTATCTAACGTTAAACAGATCCGACATGGAGGTTACCAGGGATGATATTCACTTTGAGTAACGTTGGTATGTCACGAAGCAACTTAACACAACGTCGTCTACTAGTGTTAACATCAGGATATCGTTAGAGGCTAGACTCAAACCCACAATACAAACCACACAGTGATAACGACGTGACCGAGCTGATCAAACCCGTCTTTGATTTGGGCTATGGCACGAATAAAACCGATTATGTTTAACGTTATTAAGAGACATAACCTATGTTATCCGCTCAGTATTTACATAATTAGTTAGGGTCAGATACACGTAAGGACCTTGAACTAAATTAGGAGTTTGACAGAGGAAGTTAATACAAGTTAAAATGTAGGCCAAAGTTAAAAACCTTAGCTCCCTTGGAGACACCGGCTAACCCCCACCGACAGATGCTAGCAATCTTAGCTATTTAGTTAACGCTAAGTCACGTAGAGTCAGTGAACGTTATAACTTAAAACTCGTCTTTTCGGCCTCGTTGGCGAGCTACACTTTCACTTCTGCGGGGGAATCGTTAGCTAGCTACATAAAACCAGTGTAGTAAGCCGGGAACACTGGTCCTAATCTCCTCGTCCCATTGTTAGCACAGATGCTAGCATGCTAGGTAACGTTCTGCGCCGAATGCCTCAAGTTAAACGGATGTCAGTTAAAACCAACGGTAGATCAACCACCGACCGTTATTTTACGTTCATACAACGGGAATGTCGTTCCACGGCGGTTATAACTTAAAACAAAACAAAGAGCAGGTCGGGACGCTGCGACAACTCGGTGTGTGCAGTCCTCTCGAGTAAAGACGACTAAAGACGATTTATTAAACAAATACAGGTTCAACCGACAGGTTTTTTTTTTGTTGTTTTTAGTGATGGCATGAATCCCATACCTTTATACTCTTTGTCTTCAAAGAGATTTTCTTTGTCGGATTTAACGTTAGCTGTATGAGAGCAGTCCGTGTCTTTTACTTTCAGTGGTATTTTTCTAGAAGGATGCTCAGGTTCACTGCTGCTGAGCTAACAGTAGCGGCTACAAGGACCCCTCTGCTAGCCTCAAGATTGCCTGACAGTAAAATATATATTAAAAATAAATAGAGGAGTCATCGACCTGCTGTTAGATCCGATTGTGTTTATTATTAAATGTGTCCACTATGTTCGTAGTAATTAGTTTTATATATTTGTTTTTCTATAACCGACACAAATATGATGTGAAACCAACTTTGTGTTGCATAATTGTAAAATCATGCCATGATTAAGCTCCCCTTCCCCTACAAAAAAATATAAAGAATGATTTATTTATCAATTTAATTTTATTAATTTCACAGTTTTTTTGTGAAATAAATTCTGTAAATAGTTTGTCCCCATTTGAACGTCTAAATACTGTTTCAAAGCCTTCTCCACGCTGCCAGGAATATAATCTTGATGGAGAAGATCCTTTATTAATTACTTTTTTGATCATTTATCCTGATTTAAATATATTCAGTCCACACAACTGGAATCATCCTATACGACACCCACCAAGTTTTATATGTATACTAAATGTATAATAAAAACAAAAACAAAAACGCATTAATTCTCAGAAAAAATACAGAGGACACAACCTCAGTCAAATAATCTCATAATCTCGCATAATCTCTGCTTGAGCACAACTCTTAGTTTACATATACAGCAACTGTGAAAAGTTGGTGTTGGATGACAAAGATGGCCAGACTGAGATTTAAAATAATTACTTCCAGCAATAGCAAAAAATGAACAGAAGATGGCGCAGGTGACCCATATACTGGAAGGTGTTGAGAAACCATCTCCAAGCCAAATCCTGTAGCTGCTGTCTCAGATGGTCCTCTGCTGTGTGTTCACCACGGTGTTGTCGAACATTTAAATTGATTTACCTTGGACTTTCTGTGGTTTTTAGGGGTTACAGAGGGTACCGTGAATCAGCAACCATGTCGTGATGTGCACAGTAGTATCAACTGGTGAAATGAAATACTTTAAAGCGGCAAGTAAAATATAGGAGTGGAACGGCAAAGACCAGAGGAGTTAGGTCAGATTTTCGGGTAATATACAGACTGTATGGCCAGGTTGTACCACATAAATACAACCAAGCTAAAACACATTCCAGTACAAGTGTACTAACAGTAGTTGTGCTGATTTAATAGGCATGTCTTAAAATCCACACCACCAGTGATTCTAATATGGGCTGCTTACCGACTAAATGTGTGCAATTAACAAACATTTAGACATTTCTTTTGTTGGCATGAGCAAATAACTTTTTACAACTCAAATTTGATCCAGTTTTATTACATTATGGCCGTATAATAAAGGATTCAGAAACATATTTATATTTTATAAGTTTAGATCTCTCATACTTTGCATCATATGGTAAAATAACAGCATACAAGAGCATCAATATTATCAAACCTTCAGAGTTTCAGACCTTTTTCAATGAACTTTCACACTCAATTTTCACACCTCCTTTATGATCCCAGTGTCTGGCTCTCTGTCTTATGATGGGCATGTCTATAACTAGTGCGGTGGGGGTGTATGGATATCTAGCTCCGCTCTCTGATGTGGGCTGTTGAGTAATGGCCGTACATCCTTCAGTGCTCCTCTCCTGCAGCCCATCTGACTGGATTAAATATGTGCAGAGGATTTATTGGCTGAAAAACCACAAGAGCCCCACAAAAACTTCGGCCCCAGACCACTTGTAGTGTAGCCCAGGCAAGCACAGGAATTCATCTGCAACCTCTCTGGCTTCCCCTTTCTTCTATTTCTACTCTAAACTATATGTATCTTTACACATTTTCATCTGTGACCTTTTCTCACACTCTTATTTATCTTTACTATGCCATTATCCCATTTTTATTATATGATAAGTCACCAAAAACACAGAGGTGAAATCAGGATCTTGGGTGTTTCCAGACTTTTTTTGGGGGGGTTGAGGGGCTTTTTCCACTCACAGCCCCTCTTCAGTTAGTTGGGCAACATTAATAATTCATGGCCCACATGTGTTACAGACAGATTACAAGCATCTCCACTTAACTACCATCATTATCGTTATTACAGCCGGAGAATTTTATTCACCATCTTGCAATTTGCGACTCATGCCATTGAGGTTTGATTTTGGAGTGTGGTTTAAGGGTGTATTTGTTTACAGTGCCGTCCTTTGAGACATTTTAAAAACTAATGCACTGTTTTCTCACTGCAGTGCATTTACATGACCATACCAGTGGTGCCTTTGGTGATCTGACTATTTTCTGCCACAGACAGCTGCTGTGAAAATGCAATGCGTTCATCACATATTTTTTATGTGATGTGTGTTATTTTATATGGTAATATTGGCTGCAAGCCTCATGATCTTTAAGATTGTGAACGTCATGTTTTGTATGTTTCGTGTGTAGATTTAAAAGCTGTAATTTACAGTCAAGTGTCAACAAGTGTCACAGCAGCTGCGGAGGAGCCTGGTGATCCTGCTGGTAATGACCATAGACATACATCAAGATACACATCCATCCATTTGCTGTCTGACACTGGGCCTGATGCTGGATGCATTCTTTATCAATTCTTCTTTCTTATAGTTTGAGTCCCTCACAGCAGGTCCAGCCCCGACCTAACCCTAATCTTTGTATCTCTGTCGGTACCTCAAACCTAAAACCTAAACGAAACACAGTATCACAAAAGTGAGAGCAGCTCATAATGAGCCTCTTGACACTCACACTGACCAGAAAACAAACAGATACTCCTGGTATAAAAAAAAAGACGTAGACAACATTCAGGTGCATGTAACAGGTGATATGACTTATGATTAATATAATTAACCTAGATATTAACAGGCAGTTTTTCCTTGCCCCCGTCGCCAAGTGCTTGCTCATGGTGGTACTGTTAGGTCTCTGTAAATGTTATAAGAGTTTCGGCTAGACCTGTTCTATTTGAAAAGTGTTCCTGAGTATATACTTCTGTTATGGAATTGGCGCTATACAAATAAAATAAAATTGAATTTACATTTACCGTTTTGGCACATTCAGAGCAACACACACTGTATTTATGTGTGTAGACAGTAGATGAGTACATGATCATGATCATTGTCCACAGCTGGTAGGTCACATATTATGATGAATGTTGACACAAAAGTATTTATTAGCATGATCAAGAAAAACTATATATACATCTCACAAATTAATATATAATAAAAGTATATTTTTTGCTATTTTTTTTAACTTACGAAGTGAAGCATGATCATAAAAAAGACTAAATTTTTATTTCAAAGTAAATGTTGGTAACTTGTATCCACAACAACAAAACAAAGTTGGTAACTTGTATAACTTATAAGTTTCAGGTTTCATTTCCAAGCTGCAAGTGTTCCCAGTTTCCACTTATTGGCATGTTTAGGTTTTCTTTCATCACAAGTTCTTAATCTGCATCAGAAAGCCACACAGAAGTCATTGAATTCAGTCAACCCATTAAAGACATCAGTGTTTGATTAATGTGACAGCTGGTTAAAAAGTGATGATCTTGAGCTTCAACTCAAAACATCTGCTTTGTATATTATATTGTTCAAGAAGAGTTTGCATATTTTAAATCTTATTGCTATCAACAAACCAGAGTGTGTACTTGATATAAATAAAGTGAGATCCAGGGTAAAGGCAAAACTGACAGTAAAACATACATTGTGGCCATTCGTTTATATATGAGACAAATGAAAGAAATGATGAGTGAAATATTTTTTTTAAGTGGAAGACACAAGTTATCAGTAGCAGTGACACACTTAATTAGACTTACAGTGATTCAAGCTATAGGACAAATGTTTTCCTCTACTTATTATACCAAAAATTCACACATGAAAAGAGCAAACAGCTTTTTAACTCATTTCCAACACAGTCTTTGTCAAGTGTCCACAACTATATTTACATATTAGAAATATTGCAAAAAGGTGTGTGTGCACAACATCAATTACATACTGAGTTGTCATCATTTTTTTGTTACAATTTTTCCACACAACATAACATCTCAGTTAAAATATGTGACAGCTGGTAATTCGGCTGTAATTCAGTGCATTTGATCAGAATCTCAACTCAAAAGACCTTTGAGGCCTCAAAAGCATGCTACTGGATAAAAAGTGACATGATTTCTCGATCACAAACTACTCTTTCTTTCCTATATAATACTGTGCCCATGCACAAAGAGAAGTTCAGGCATTTTTGTCTTGCTGTTGTTAGATGGTCAGCGATCACTGTGAGGAATGAAGTCAGTGAGAAGGTGGAGGAAAGGTAAACTATGACCTTTGACTTCCTGTTCTGCATTGCGTGACTTGTGTTGGCTCCTGAAGCCCAAACCTTAGTACTGGGTCAGCACTAACCTGGCCTGCTCAGTGACAGGAATCCAACACACAAACTGATCTTATCTGACAGCATGAAACCAGAGCAGACTTGGCACCTCTGTCCTACAGAGTCTGGCCCAGAGGGCATCATGGGAACTCTTGTGAGGCCAGCTCAGGGATGAAACACCAACAGAGATTCATAGACTTTCGACCACCTCTGAAACTAGGTTTAGAAATAACATCTGTCCATCATGGTCAGCTCTCCAGTTCCAGCTTTATAAATTGGTAGAAAATGTTAGAAGGTTTACCATTGTATCAATTCATGCATGACAGATTAAGACAAATATTATTTATCAACTGATTTTCTATTTCCTTTACCATTTTCCTGGAATAATATTGCTTTAAATGAATTACAAGTGCTTATTAATGTAATTATGTATGTGTTTTGTTTATAATATCTAAGGGTAATATTCAAGAGCAAGCATGTTAATGTTAATAAATGTTGAAGAATGAATAACAATAAATGACACAGAACAACTTCTTAGCCATTATCTTTGTGCGACATACACAAGATGAGGGCAAGATGGGAAATAAGTTGACAAATACATTTTTAGATTGGTAGCAGATCAGATTAAAGGGGTATTTCAGAACGCCATATCATTATATACATGTACATACATGTCATATATATTTATATATAGGCTACATACTACACAC